TCGCCCACCCTCGCAGGTGAAGTTCTGGCTTAAGGCCTTCCCTTTTCCCTCTGCCTTTGGGTGAGCGACTAAAAAAAACAATGTTATAAAAATACATCTATCACATGAATCAGAAACTTGGATACTGCGAAATGAAATGAATAAAAATGCTGAAAAGTGTTGCAAAGAAGCATGGATAGCTGTGCCCTTGGCATTGCGGGAACTGATCAATTTTTTTTATTCCAATGAGGTCCTTGGGATCGCCTTCTCAGTACTCCGATGTCAAAGCTCATTTCCTGGGGTGATCTGGCTTTTGCCAGTACAGCTCACACAGATTATGGAACGCGTTGCCTTTGCTAATGAGACAGAGTCGATGGATATATTTAAGTCTGTCTTGAAATATTACCTCTTTAAATTCGCCTTTACCCCCTAGTTATCGGTCGTTTACCCTGATTATATTTACTTCCTGCTTTCCCTACACGCCGCATTGTGGATCTACGGATGAAATGCACCTTACTAATGTAATTTATTATTAATACATCGACTGAAAGGGGCGCGTGGCTTACGGCGCGTGTGTAAGTTCGAGGAATAATTTTCAATGGTAACAAGAGGGGACTTCGCCATTACACGTTGCTCGAAGACCCGGTGGCTGGAGATAATAGAATCACAATGTTTATTTATACTGGGGGAATCCAATGAGCTTATAAATCTCTTTTTTCACAGATGGGCAGGAGGCAACTCGGTGGTAGCCAAAGGAGGGAACGCGTGTGCAGGAGATATGTTATTGCTCCATCGCCATAGCATGACGGATGGTGCGTATGGAAGGTCGTCATCCACAACAGTGGACTGATCATGGCTGTAGATGATTATAGTACAGCATTTACAGATGTTACTATTCGATTAATGGAGGCTCACTTCACATACATCAAGCGGGACATTGTTGATTTGTGTTTGGAATGCCACTACAGTAATACTGTTACATATGCTATCATGTCCAGAAACAACCCTTCAAAAGCTGTGCCAAGAGCAGCTGTCTTTATACGATGTCTGCATTAGCGTTCTTCGCCTGCTAGAGGGCGCTACTCTCCGTTATATTAAATGGCTTACAACACAAGGGAGCATGCCATCGAAACTTGCAGCTAGCCACGTGTTAACGTATTGCTGCTGATATTCGCCACTGCAAGTGTCTGCCCAGTTATCATGAGTAGTTAAATATATATTTTGTTTCCACTAGGAACATGCCAATTCAAAAAGGGTGTAGCAGTTAGTCCTTGCAATGCAACACATTTCTGCAATTCAAAGTCATCATTTGATTAAAGAATAAAACGTGTGATAAGTGTAATGGCTTTTAGTGGTTTGTGGCGTCATGTGAACCCTTTACACAGTAAATTCAAGAGTTGGGAAACTTTTTACACTCGATTCGATACATGTCTCATGAGCTTAATAATTTATACACGCTTATTTATACCCCAACCTTTAATATTAGCAGTCAATGCGACTGCTGCAAGATCCTGCATATACAGTACAACACAGTGATATATTCCCTATTGGTATTGTTTGATGTACACTGTTGGAAATGAAACGTAAATATGGAATCCTGATGGTGGTTGAAGCAGTACTTTCAAAATAACTCAACTCGTTCGTCAAGGCCCTTGCAGAGAGACGAATATTAATGTTCAAGAGGAATGTGGTGCACGTGGAGTATTTGCCTCCAGGACTTTCCCCTCTTAGCAATGCTCAGTTTTTCTAAGATACCGTCTGGTATTTAGATGTCACGGGGATCTACGTACTGGAGATGAATACCCTTCATGGAAGCCATACAATAGCAGACATTATAATGGAAGTTAATTTGTGTTTCTTTGGAAATTAAGGTGGGGAGCATCTTGTGACCATTATTCGACGTTCAAATGTCCAACATTTTACCAACTACAGTAGATGGTGAAAACGTCACTGCAAAGGATGTGCGTTATTAAGTTTGAAAAATGAAACGTAGTATCACTGTAATTAATACTCAATGGGTCAGTTAATTGAAATGAGTATACCATTGTATTTAAAACAGTGTACATTATGTAATTGTTTTATTTTGTATAGGAAGTGATTTAATTTAGGCTGCAATAGTCGTATTTACATGAATGTGCATTGTGGAATACAATATACAGTACTGTAATGTGCATACTCAAGAGGGTAGTGCATACTCAAGAGGGTAGTGAACGCTATTGTACTGTGCTATGCTACAACGTCTATGCTTGCCCAACTTCACCGACTCGCACTGACCAGCGTGGTGAAGTATGGTCAAAATAGCCCTCGCAACACGCACGACGTGAGGAGACCCTAATACAGCTTTGGTTTGACAAAAGGGGCTGTGCTGTACACATATAAAGGCGGATCCCGGTACAGAGCATTGGTATGTATTCCACAGCACAATTCCGTGGTTCGTTTTCCTTTGTGCCATGTCGCTCATTCGCCTCTACTGCTACCTTAGTCTGGAGCTCTCTTCCCGCCCACCACCCGTCTAATGTATCATTATTGTTCATGTAGCTGGTCGGCTGTAGTCACAGCCCTAGCCAGAGGGTATACTGGATGCGGTGTGCCGTGTGCGGACGTGATTTTCCTATCGCTGGTAGATTTTTTTTCGTGTTGCTGGTAGGCGCTACGTTGGCGACATGTTAGCGACCTCGCCTGGTATACAGGAGGTCGGGGGTTCAATCCTGACCCTGACACCTGTATATTTGGCGTTTTTGTAGTGTGTCTCTCCCCGTGGTCGTGTGGATTTTTCTCCGAGTTTTCCATCCACATTTATAATGAATTACCGTCACGCGTTTAGAGTTTTTGCCTGCTTTAAATGTCCACGCGAATTATCGCGTCAAATAGAAGAAATTAATAAATAATAAATTGGAGGGGGTGGTACGTGACAAACGTAGGCACAGCCGTAGAGAGATGTATACTGGATGTGGTGTACAGGATGCAGAAATACTTTCCAGGTCTCCGAACCCGCACACAGACCCGGAGGAAATGAAGATCCTCCTTGGGTAGCATTCACCGTATTCTCCGGATTCACAAGAAGCACCATGTTATCTTGTGTTTTAAAGCAAACTAAAAAAAACACATTGGAGATGCATCATATGACCCGGTAGGTGCCATGTGTGTGTGTGTGGACCGTGTGTGTGAGAGACCAGATTTATATAACTATTCCTGACACCAGGCACATGTTCAGGGGTGCGTCTTACTTTCTGGAGCGTCTTTTGCACTCGGGAGAACACGATGCTGTAATTAGTGGCCGGATCCAAGTGCAACTTCATTGAAACCCAATGATGGGGGGGACGTGCATTGCGCCTCCTTCAGGTGCGCTTCTGCGGCCCGTCTGGAACGCTCTTCCTTCCCACATTCGGAAGCCACTGGAGTTATGCACTTTTAAATCATCATGTTTGAAAACTCATTTATTTAGAGCTGCTTTTTGTGTTCAGTTTGTTGTCCCCCCCCCCGCAACCTCCGATTAGCGCGGGGTGGCTACGTACGGCGCGAAAGAAATCCAACATACACGCGTGCTCATCGTCCCCACTTGCGTGACCCGAGCACACACGTCCTGGACAAGCAATTGTGCAGGCGGCCAAGTGTGTACGACTCCGCTATCCGTGCTATTGTATCTGCGTTGCACTGGGTTCATTGTGATTTCAGTGCTATTATTAGTTTAGCCCCTGTTGAACCATGCGTGTGTTGTTAGCAGCGGTAGTGTAGCGGTCAGCGCACTGCGCTACGAACATCGCCACTGGGGAGACAAAGGCGTCCGGGCGTGGTTGCTGGCCACCCAACCCCCCTCGTGTAGCGTGCCGGCCTTCATAGGTGCTCGCTAACAACACTCTCCGCAGCACTTGTCAAGGCTATACCGGGGATCTTTGTCTTTTTTGTTATTGTATTGGTCAGCGCACTGCGCTACGAACCCGTGGCCGATGCTCGCTCATAGCTAAACACCAAAGGCAGCGAATATCTGAACAGGTGCTGGACCTCCCCTAGGTCGACTCAGCCTTAAACGAGTACCTGTTGCTCAAGTGTAAACTCTACGGCAGTGAGCGAATACTGTGCGACGCGTTACAATTTGGAATTATTGTGAAAGCGATTACTCAATATTTTACAAAGATGAGAGGCGTTTTGAGATTGGTGTGAGGCATGTAGAGGCTTTGAATTTTAATGTTTTCTCCGTATTTGTTCACTCTATATTTTAGTGGGGTATCTAGAACTCGATAATGTAATGCAATTCATACTCCAATAGCGATTTATTCCAATACGGTTGAGGGATCACGTTACCTCTGTAATAGGTTCAAACACTTTTAAATTAGGTTCACTTTCACGACCACGGTTAGTGTAAATATATTGTCGTAAATATCAACTCATACGCTGCGTATTTGCAAGTACTGCCCTCATCAATTTCACGTTGGGTTAGAGAGCAAAGACGTTCGTGTTAAAAATCATAGGAAGAATAACTTATTATTGTTGCATTTCATGAATTTCGTTCACACTATTGTTACACGTTATTTGAAATGCAATGCAGAGCTTCAGCCTATGACCACATCACCCAGAATGCCCCCAATGTTGACAGGACCTCAGAAGCTAAAGAAGGTTATGCATTGATAGTGCTTGCAAGGATGGGTGACCACCATGCTAGCCAGGTTGTTATAGGTGCCTGCTGGGACTATGTGGTCGTCAGCAATGAGTGCAGCAAAATCCATAGTTGTCCTGTAATTCTATGCTCCTTCCTGCCTTCGCCAACTTATACTGAGAGGCGTGAAGTATGGTCAAATACCCCTCTTACACGATCTGCACGGTGAGAGGCCTTCATCATCCAGCAGTGGTTTTACCAAAGGGATGTTCAGTACATGTACTATAAACACTGCGATATCGTGATGAACTGGACATGTTTGTATTTAGTTTGCTGTCCTTCCCCCACACCTCCGATTAGCACGGTTGCCCACGTACGTTGCGAAATAAGTTCGACATACACACATCATGGAGCAATCGGCACACACTTTTGGGAAGATCGTTTTATTACAGCAGTGTTTTACGTACAGTAAATGGTTTATAATGTGTTGCACCAGTTTCGCCTTGCCCCGGGGCGTTTGTTCCGTCACTCATTACATTCGGCAACTACGGTATGTCAACGCTACGTCCCTCTGAAACGACGGCCTCGGTTTGCGGCGAGCTATGTGGATGGAGACGCACACAGAGTAGCCATAACGACTGGCTGCCGTGAATGTATTTTACAACAGAGTTTTTTTTTTACACGACACATCCTTCCTGCAGGTCGATCTCTTGTGCAGCGGCTTTGCAGCTTGCAAAGCACTCGACGAGTGGCGACCACTGCACCGTTAGTAACACGTGATTTTACCGAAAGAACCAAAGAGTATGGATCATTGCAGTCAGGAAAGCTTCAAATCTAGAAGTAACACTTTTGTTTTAAGCTAGACAAGACAGCGGTGGCGTTACGTGTTGTTGGCAACGGCCCCTGGTTGCACGGAGTTATTAAATGGGGTGCCCCATGTCAAAGTCCTCTCCCTCTTCGAAACCCAGTGCCTGGGCCACCTCCTGCCCTTGTGCAGCTGCAACCGCCCGCAATCCACATCTTACATAGCTCCTCCACTGGGAGGCAAGGTAGTTGCTTTGTCGGTCACGTTTCCACTCGGCGGCACACAGTACGCTGATGTGACTGTGATTAACAAAAAAAAATGGGTAATTTCAAAAGGTACCCGAGGTGACCTACATCTGTACTGCACACGTTTCACTTGAGGTGTACGTAGTTTTATTTAAGCCTCGTCGGTTGATATGAATGGGCTCAAGCAGGGCCCAGATGCAAACACGGACACAGAGTGAAAATTACGATGACAAGAGGTGAAATGCAGTCAATCTCAGCCAAGCCTTTTTCTCTGTTCGCACGTTAAATCCAAAACGTCCATGGCCGCAAGGTGTGAACCGTGGTTCAAGCCTCAGTGGAACACGTTATTAGATGTGTAAAACAGTGTATCTCACGGGGGGGGGGGGGGGAGATGCCCAGAAAATGAACGCTATATTTTCCAGTTGGGCTATTGCACTGGGATTTCGCACTCGAGTACTGTATACGCTTCGGGTACAATAGATGTTTTAATTTGAATTTCAATTGTCTTCACCGTTCTCCGGGAATGGGTGTCTAGAAGCCACAGCTGTGGAATGTTTTCTCAACACAGCACTGTAATGTATTTGGATTAAATACTGTTTTGCCATTGAAGAATGCGTGGATTGTAAGGGGGACAGAGATGCACTGCTTTCTGCACGTCTGTCGATAGGCATGTAACAACGCATCAATTCATTGGTTAAAATTGAGTCTTAACATTTACAATCGATTACCGTATTTATGATGTGTGCAACTTAAATCATAATGGGGCAGTTCGGCTCATGGAGTGCACATAATTAAAGTACATAGACAGAATAACATGGTGAAACTATACAAATGAGGTAGTAAGAGCAAGACAAATAATATTTAGTTATTCTTGTGACAAGTCATGGAATTAAGGTGGGGGTGGACAGGGAGCAAATAATTATATGCCTATGTGCAGTCATGCGCATCTCCATTGATGGTTTGAGCCAGTGGTGGAAGTTCCACATTCCTATGCCACTGCGCAGTCCATCCAATGACAAATGTATACTCAGACCAAATTCGTATACATCACAGTATTGCGCACATATGCATACATATGGCTGTGCATAATGGTAATTTGAATATCCCTCTGGAAATATAAATTATGATACTGTGTTTTGGTGATATGCAAATTCTTATATCATCATGCAGTTTAGCTGTCCGTCTTCTGATGCTGCCTTTTAAGTACCATTCTCTCACGAAATTGTACAGCACTGGTCCATGTGGCAGGCCATTGACAATCGGCGATGATTGGATACTTTCCCTATGGAGCGATGAAGGGCATATATAAATTCTTACTTTTTTGGAGCTGTTAAGATTTCAGCATATTTAGCTGAACGTGCATGTGACGCTGGAAGTGGCAAACTTCACGTGAATTTCGGCCCAAGGTTCAGAGGTCGCCGTAACATGGATTTGGATATGAGATCGAAAGGCATAGACCACACACCACAGCAGTACTAGACACACGGCGACACCAGAGTACAGTACTTACACAGAAGGAAACACATTGTCAATGGATGATGACCCACATTTGGCAATGCGTAGCGAATTTCATATCTATCACTTCTAACATACTGCTTTAAAAAAAGACACAATAAACCATCATTGCGAACTGATTGTCCTAATGCTAATTTCATACAGTACAAAACCCAAGTCTAACCGGGGACATGTCAGACAGTTTATGCATTTACATAATGCAAACGGATCATCTTGTGCTGTAACAATACATTTACTTAATTTTACCATTAACGTGTCATTTATGAATGGCGCGGCCAAATGGAGCTTTTCGTGCATGTTCTGGTGTTTAATTTCAGAACCAAACATGATATCTTCATACGTGTCCACTTATAAAATAATGCAGTCCGTTTTAAAATAAACAAAATCCGATCATTTTCACGCAATTCCTATACTTGCACGTTGGCTACGAATACTGTGGAGCCTTTAGGTGGAAACTTGTCCACATTGTAAGTTCCAGGTTAAGGCGAGTGTGTTCACAATGCGGCCTTTTTGTGCATTGTCTTCTAGATGGTGATAGTTAACAACGATAAATCACAACACCACCGTCAAAATTTTGGAGCCTTGCTAACCGTTCTTTTTCAAACAATTGGCACTTTAAATATATTGTTCGGAATTACTTTTGACGAAGTACGTTTCACATGTACCACTGCGTCGCCGGTGTTAGCGGTTGTGCTGTATGGCTCTCCGATGTGTTTTCAGGTTGTAACGCGTGCGAGTTCGGCATGATGTCCGACGTTTCACACCACGTCCGGGAAACTTAATCAATTCAGTTCATGAAGAACTCTCGGCACTTGGAGGAAAACGTCGGACAGGCGGTACGACCCAAAAACAGAGAGAAGATTTCACACACGTTAGCAATGGTGTGTGTGTATATTAAGCCTCATAATTTCAACAAGAGGTTCCAACTTGAAAAGGTATCTACTGCAAATTAATTCAAATTACTGTCTCCTGACCTCGCATAAGTGACATTGACAAGTCTGGTGGGAGTTTAAAACCTTATATTCTGGTTGGATGATTCTTCAGTATAAAACAACTGACTTGACCGGCATGTGATATGGTTCATGTTTATTAACCCACCGCAAAGTGAGACAAATAAAAATTATAACACAAAAACTAATCAACAGTGGAGCAGCGATGTCCGCAGCACCGTTCATATAAGGTCACAGATTTTAAAAAAAACACACAACTTAGAACTTGGGCTTTGCTCCTTCACATTGCTTTAGATGCTCATCTAATCAAAGAACCCTCATTACGAGGGTTTGATGATAACCCCTATGCAAAGCAGGACACTCAATAGCCATCGTCGCACACCCGCAATGATACGTATGGCTGGTGCAGAAGCACAGACGTGTGATATTAACTTTGGAGTGTTCAATTTCTATGCAGGATAGGTGAGGACACTCACATGTCCCTTCTCCCGTTCTTTTCCCCACCTCCCAGCGCCACTCTCACCCCCCCTCCCCACCCAATACCAACCCGCAGGCCCCTTCCTTCACCCACCCTGGTAGGGCCAGGCCAGAGAAGAGGGAAGTTGAACACAGAGGAATGGCCTCAATGTCGGACGTGTCACAGGTCAGGGTCAGTCAGGTCAACGCTCTCTCCAAACAAGGCCACCAGCTGCCCCTTGTAGTGCTCAATGTTCCGTTTCATGATGTCCATGCAGGGGCCCAACAGACGCTCAAACGCCTGCACGTCCATCACTGCGCAAGAGAAGAGAAGGCACACCCCCGTCTCTGTCAAAGCGAACCTATATATGGTGCTCATGCGAATCTCCCGGCCACCTCGGAGGGGGAGGTGGGGGGGGGGGGAATGTTTACGGTTGTCGGCATCAACGTCATCGTTGTCGCAATTATCATTAATTCTCGATCTGCTGCCAGATGAAAGACTCGTGTTTAGGTGCCATTGCCTCTGATCTAATGCAGCTGCGGCGTGCCTCTCACTTACGGGTACGCTGATTCGAAATCAGCTTGAGATTTGAAAAGATTAAACAAACTGCCTGGGCACGTAAATGAAAAGAACAAACTAAAATGATGTAAACAGCGGCTACGCCACCTGTACAAGGAGAGGTGCATGTTTTGGCATGTTTTTCAAATCGAGGCTTTTTGGTCATTTAACGATGAAGCAGAACAAACCCTTCAGTGGACGCTCTATATAGCCCCTTGCCAAAACTATACGATGAACATTTTTATTTTATTTTACTAGGTAAGGCCCACTGAGCTCTATCGCTCTTGTTCAGAAGTGACCTGGCCACAATTGATAACGCAACAAAGCAGGGGCGGAGCCAGGATTTCAGGCCGGGGTGACATTCAACAAATTTTAATTTCAAGAATGATTAGAGAGTCAGGCTGTTGAACTAGACGCCATCGGTTGGCGACACACTCTGACAATGCAGTTGCACGGAGTCCGCCAGACCGAGTGTCATACAATTATACGCAGAATGTCACCCCTGTCACCCCCCCTGGCTCCGCCCCTGCAACAAAGTGGCTTATCACGTGGAAATTCAGAGCCACCAAATAGTCTGAACGCGTATTTCTAAATGTGGAGGGGAAAAACTGGAGGACCCGGAGAAAAATCACGACCACGGCGAGAGAGAGAGAGAGACATGCAAACGCCAAATATACAGGCGTCATGGTCCGGATCGAACCCAAGACCTCCTGTGTACCCAGCAATATAGTTGGAAGACAACAAGATCAGTAAAATTTAGATGTATATACTGCAGTGTCTAAACGAGGCTGCATTGCAAGAAAAAAACAGGTCCCTGCAGGGTGGGCTGGTAGGAACATTGGAATTTTGCGCAATTTTATGACATTGTTACGTAAAATTGTGCAAATTGAGAGCGTCTTCCCACCTTTTTGCCCTCAAAATCGTTGAGGGTTCTTCGGACAAATTAACCTCTTACACCCAACAGCACGAGATTTCACTTCGTTAAAGTATTGAAAGGGGACGGACGGACGGACACATTAATCTATTGCAGGCTGGTACACTCAGTTTACAACTTCGTTCCTACCAGTAAAATGGCTTTACCCTTTCTGGCATAAATACAGGTGTTCAGATGTTCAAACACCAAATAGTCACCTATTACCAGGAATAAAGTCTGAATTTCGATGTAAAGCTTTCATGACAGCAGGGATTCATATGCTTGGTTTTTTCGGTAAAGTCACGTAGAAGGAAAATAAATAAAAAATGTATTTCCCTTCTACGTGACTTTACCGAAAGAACCAAGAATGTGAATCAAGTCTGAGTTGACCAAACAGACTTGTGGTAAAAAAAATGCGAACAAATATGCTTTGATAATTATATATGCACTGTCCTTGAAACTGATTGGTCTGCACGAAAGGCAGCCTTTTCTATGGCTTTGCCTCACCACTGCGAGAACAAAGGCTGCCAAACAGGCAAACAGTACAAGGGCAATGCAAACACCAAAGTATGAATAGCTGGGGTTAAGCATTTATCATTATTATTATTATGGTAACGGTCAAACACACCGATATCATCTTGGCTAGTTTAATTGTTTAAATTCAAACATGTGCTATGTGACTCCGATGTACATTATAGATCAGAATTTTTTTGAAATTGTAGTTCATTTAATCGTCTAAATATGCCTGTGACCACATCATCCTGGAATACACTGATCTTGTCAGATATTGGAGGCTAGGCAGGACTGAGCCCACCAAGGCTTTGCCGGGTGCTGTAGGTGTGTGGCTGCGAGGTGGCCAAGAGATGGCGGTGCTAAGTGTCGTCCCCTCATGCGTGGTGGGTTTATTTGTCTTGCCGGGTACTCTGGTTTTCCTCCAAACATGCCAAACTGGTCGCTGATGACGTTGGCAGGACCATCCTAATAAAATAATCTTTAGGTTCAACGATACATAATTAGCGTCACTATTATTGTTATGTTAATGTCCGAACATTCAAAATGATCGGCATTAAGGTAAATAACCCTTTCTAAAAAAGCCTATTCTTTGTTTTCATAATTTTGATACTGGCAAAAAATGTCCGATAGGTACATATTATTATAACTAGCTTGTGTGCCCGTCCAATGACGGGTGTATATTGCAGTAAATCTGACATTTTTCAATAGAAAAATAGTTCAGCTCATGATTATTAATGAGAGGGGGGGGTTGCCCCATGTGGAGTGACGTCACCCTCTAATGGTTATTGGGGAGGGGTGCGGCATGCGGAGTGACGTCACCCCCTCATGGTTAATGTGGAGTGGTGCGGCATGTGGAGTGACGTCACCCGCTCGTGATTATTAATGAGGGGAGGGGTGCGGCATCTGGAGTGACGTCACCCGCTCGTGATTATTAATGAGGGGAGGGGTGCGGCATGTGGAGTGCGCGACCTTCTTGTGCGTCAGTGTAAATTTCCACGCGCGCATGAATATTAATGAAGGGGGGGGGGGGGCTTTTTGCATTGACGTCACGCATGGATGTAGCACTGTGCTGCGTATATTTATTTTTTACCGTCACTTTCTGTAAAGAAACGTCATATTTGAAGCGACTTTGCCTAATAAATAATTAAATTCAGCTCGACCTTCCTCTGCGTTTGTGTTAAAATTCACCCACTCATGAATATTAATAAGGGGGGGGTGGGCCTCATGTGGAGTGACGTCACGCGGGCGGTGGGACTTACGTGGAGTGACGTCACACGCGGGACAGACAGACATTTCTGGGTGATTACAGTAGGTAATTACATACCATTAAAAAACTATTATGGATTACATACCATGTTCATATTTCAAGAGTCACCTCTTTGGATTGTATGCAACAATTTGTGCAAACATTGGGAGAATACGGTGACTCACATCTGGGCTATATATAGACTGTGAAGAATATTGCGGAGCACCTCTGTGGGGAATAACTATGAGGCCCACTGTATTGTACATTGCTTAAATATTTTTCGGAAGAACTTTGGAAGGTTTTGCAGTGTGTTCGGCTGAATATGTAAGTTTCACAAAATAGGGCGTCACGTCAATTTGCATGGTGTACAGATGCGGTTATCCGGGGTTTTTTTGTAGTGGTTAGGAAATCCATTGTATTTATAGACTCATAATGGAAGAGGAGGTTCAAGTGCTTGTGCCATGTGGTGTAATGGCACGATATTTGAAAGTGCAAGTTGATACTGTATATCTAAACATCTTAGGTGGTCAAATGGCAGAGGTCTAATGTGGTTATAATTTAAAACCTCCAGATTATAATATTCATGTAAGCCCTATTTGCAATTTTATTTGCGCAAATGTGAACAAATTAGCTTCAATTCTTGCACCAAAAAAGCTGTACCTTTCCAGATCACAGATGGTAGTAAATCCCATGGCATAATTGCCAGGTCTGTCACTGTGCACTCTCTGTAATTGCCAATTTTTCACAACACATACCCAGCATTTCTTCAAATGCATCTATTCATTATTAATGTGTTATAAACACTGTGGTGGAGTAGTGGCCCCAGTGCTTAGCACACTGCCACAGCTAATTTATCAGGATCGAGCAATATCTGAACCAGTCCTGGGCATTCCTCTCACAAAACCACATTGACTAGAATGGTGAAATATATCAAAATAACCCCCCCCCCCATGGCCCTTCCAGATGTGTGGAGGCCTTCATCCAGCAGTGGATCGATAGAGGTCTGTAAACTATAATGTTTACAGAACTCTAATAATAATGTTTGAATGATTCAAAATATATATAAATACTCTTCCTTTAACCTTGAACAAAAAAACAACGTATGCGCAAACTTGCCTATTTCTAAACGAAAACACAAGCACATGAATCATGTTCTTTTGTGTGTGTTTAGTTTGTTGTCCTTCGCCCGCATCTCCGATGAGCACGGTTGGCTATGCACGGTGCGAAAGAAGTTCAACGTACATACATACACGTTATGATAACACCAGAAACGGCACAACACAAATCCCATCCAGCATACGAGCAATTCTTGCCCACAGTGTGGCCGATGCTTCCGCTCAAGGGCTGGGCCTCTCATCCCACCGGTGCGCAATGAAATGATGCTGCTAGCTATTCTCTGGAGTCATCATCGATCGCGATGGACAGCCGGAGAAGAAGAATAATGGATGTCAGAAAACTAAAGTAAAACCATTTTTTACTCTACCAGGTAAGGCCGACTGAGCTATATAGCTCTTTTTCAGAAGTCACCTGGCCACAAATGATAGCTCAACAATGTGACTTATCACGTGCAAACTTATAGCAGCCAAATACTCTAAACATATGACGTCGATTCTAAATGTGGAGGGGAAAACCGGAGGACCCGGAGAAAAATCCACGCGACCATGGGGATAACGCGCAAACTCCAGGCGTCAGGACCTCCTGTATACCCGACGAGGTAGTTAACGTCTCGCCACTGCGCGGCGCCCTCAACAGCCAGCGACTGGACTCACCGGCGCACTTGACTTCCCCGATGGCGTAGGCCGAGGCGGCGCGCGGCTTGTTGGTGACGAGCGCCAGCTCGCCAAAGTAGTGGCCGCGGGTGCACCGTGTGATCTCCACCTCCCGCGGGTCCATCTCCGCCACCGACTGCCGCGGGCGTTTCAGACGGAGGCACGCAGAGCAAATTGAAATAACGCATTCTTCTTATTATAACGCGCGGCCTGGAGTTAAGTCAGCAATGTTTCTACTTTGATGCCGAGGTTGGCGAGTGAGCTAGTGGATGGGCGCAGGAGTAGCCTCGTGGTGAATGTCTGAATTGCTGTCGGTGAACGATCGAAGGGGGTATTGGCATCACTATATGCGGTCAGTGGTTTGAGATATCGCCTCACATGGAGATTTATAGACTTACAAAGAGATCTATAGACTTACGTGAAAACCGTTGACTTATCAGGTGCTTCTTTTGTATGGCAGAGAGTAGATTAAGGATTATTTATGTTGAGAATAAGTTTCCCCCTTTTTTCAGGCAACAAAACAAAATATGAATAACAAAACAAGTGTTGAGATGTTAAAACACCAAACTGAAATCTTTTACAAGGAATCACGTCTGCATTAACCACAATACTTGTGGTCAGAATGCAAACAAAAAACACTGATAGTATATGCATTGTCTTTGTGACTGATTGGTCCACACCAGAGACAGCTTTCTTTTGAGCCTAGTCTCAAAGACAATGCATATATTATCAGTGTTTTTGTTTGCATTCTGACCACAAGTATTTTGGTTAATGCAGACATGATTCCTTGTAAAAGGTTTAAGTTTGGTGTTTTAACATCTCAACACCTAAATTTTGATTTAAAGCTTTCGTGACTGCAGTAATTCATATTCTTAGTTTTTTCGGTAAAGTCACGTTGAAGAGAAACAACAAAATAACAAAATATATATAAAACAATAAAAAATTCTCACGACGTTTCGAAACGTCGTGATAATTTTTTATTGTTTTATATATATTTTTATATATTTTTATTGTTTTATATATATACAAAATATATATAAAACAATAAAAAATTCTCACGACGTTTCGAAACGTCGTGAGAATTTTTTATTGTTTTATATATATGTTGTTATTTTGTTGTTTCTCTTCAACGTGACTTTACCGAAAAAACTAAGAATATATCTCAACACCTGTTTTGTTGCCAGAAAAAAGGGGGAAACTTCTTCTCATATTTTGGTCCTGGCAAAGGAGGTCCCATGAGTATGTATGTTATTGTCAAGGGTGGCGAGTGAGCCAGTGGACGGCTTCAGGAGTAGCCTTGTGGTGAATGATTGAAGCAGGCAGTAGCTTTACTCTTGTGGTCCATGGTTTCAAAATTGGAGACCACTGTTACCAATCCATTGGTGAAGGATATATCTGCATCTGATGTGAGATGTTCTGATGTGCAAAATTAGTTTTTACGCAATATTGTGTATTGCGGTTACAGGCTTCTATTGTTTAGAAAGGAGGCCTTTACCAATAACATCAGGTAAACCAACAGTATTTGTTTAATACGTTCTGCTCATGGGTTTCTCAGAAAATCGAAATTGTGCTTAAACAAATTATTCTGATTAACATAGGTCTTGAAGGCCAAAAGGCTGGTATAATGAAAACATTTTATAATTCGAGATATGGAAATGAAGCCAATTTAATTTATTTCATGAGCTAACATAGTAAACGTTCCTTCAATGCCTACAGGAGAGTAATTGGCAACGAGTTGTTAGCAATCAATGAGGATATACACATACACCCAGGAGGCGAGTGGATGCCAGAAACCAGATGCAACTTTTGTCTAAAAGCAGAGGAATGCTACACAGATTGAGATTCCCCAGTGAATGTGTCGTGTTCCCGGCCAAAAAAAAAAATTAGCTGTGCTCAACATGTTTTGTATTATGATTACAACATTAGCAATTATTATATCCTATAATTAAAGTATCGGTGTGAGAATGAGTAAAAAAAAAACTGTCCCATCTGGAACTGCAAACATACGTGTAAAAAAATCACATCATATTCAGGAACAACTTTATAAGAGACACCACAGAGATACTCTCCGTGCTGCGAGGCATAGGTTTGTGGTGAGGTCCATGCCAAATTGATGATCTCAGACACAAGCTGTCCTGTGCCCATCAATAGAAGGTCCCAACATATCCTAAATATTACCGTATTGAAATGGAATACAAGTCCAGTGAATGGTATTGCCGTCACATCCTAACGGTGTGCTGCAAGGTGCCAAATCAGGCACGCGTTTGACGCGCGAGTGTTTTTCTTACCTTCCTCCGCATCGCAATTCTCACTTCCCCGGACTCGACGAGGTAAAAACAATCAGCTTTTTCTCCCTGGCGCGCAAAGATGAAAGCTAAAATTGGTTTTGCGAAACAATAAAAATAAGTACAGAAACCTAACACTTTGGCGGCGGGGTTAAAAGGTTAAAGGAACGGACATGCAAAGCAGCCGATAAATAAAGGTCATAAAAGTTCAGTGTTTTGCCAGCTCGTGGAAATGTTTACGTGACAATTTAAAAGTGCGGCGGCTCCTTTTTTAGTCGTGAATTGCGCGCAAGCCGACATTTTCAATGTGGCCTGTATATATTTTTTTCACGAAATACGGTTTCACGAGATTTCTGCGACGGGTCACCTGGGCAATGATCCGCTCGGAATCTTGAAAGCTTTTCGACGCTATCACGTCGACGACCTTTAATCTCTCAGAAAACTGTTGGCGAGAAAGACGCAATGAGGTGTTGTTGTGTGTGCGTCTTGGCTCGGATTGTATAGTTGTTACTTTACAAATGTATGTACGTGTGTATTGAATGTGCAGTCGTAAAGGTGAGTGCTGGTGATTTCATTTTACTAATGTACTCACATCAAGAGACTTTAGTAGAGGTACTGTTTCAATGAAGCATTCGTACATTTTTCGTTTCTTTGCTGCATTTTTTACGATGATCCGTCTGAAGGTAAGGCGATCCTGGCCACAGAACAAATAGAAAAGAATACAGACGTTACTTTAACTTGCCTTTGTTTTTTTATGATTCATACATTTTCACAATTGTTTATCCGATTGTTCTATCAGTGTCACTTCACGAGGAAGAAGATTCCATTCGGTTCTTTTACAGAGCAGTGCAACCCTCAGTTTGAGAAAACGGCACACAGAATTGGATGTCAGAGAACTACGTCTGAGATGCCTTCAAGTGACCTCTTCTCCACACTTGGAGGAACTGCACCTGTTTGTCCACCCTGCTACAGATTAATGTTCGTCTCAAATCAAAATAAATATTAGTAATTATAAGACTTGGGATGTAGCCAAATTAAGTGAAAAAAAACGAAGCTTAACATGATGGGGCTCTTTCTGTGCAGTCAGTTAGTGACTAGGCTAAGACCCCGAACTCACTAAACTTCTGGCTGTCGCCTGATGAGGCTGGTTGTAATTACCGGTTAAACGTCATACTCGAATTGTAACTGTTGTGGGTTTACTCTCAAACACACCGGTGTGCTGTACTAGTAACTAATTGGCATGTTTTGTTTACGTGACAAATGTTACTAATTGGCTGTGTCGGGCGGTGGTGGTGTTTAATGACGCATTTATATTTACGCGATCTAATTAAAGAAACCCTCTATTATGGATAAACTTGAAGACCGAGATTAATCAAAGGCAGCTGTGTGGCTCTAAACCCAGGGTCTCAGTGGTGCCAGCTCAGCGCTTCGACCTCTGAGCCACCCAGCCACCTCTGGATTTATTTACTTCCAATGACCTTGTTTAGGGCATGATTTTCTTCTCTCCTGATTTCTGTCATTAAAACACTCACAACGTGGCTGGGCGAACTGACACAGTGTGCGTAATTGCATTGTTTGAAGTCATAAAGCTTACGTTAACATTTCTTGTTTACAATTAACTTAACAAATCGTTCTACTCGTTATGGAAAATAATCAAACCTTTCAGTAAAAACAACAAGTCAATATTTAGTGAGTTTACTTTGCATGGTGATTTGGACCTGGGTACTAATTTGTGTGCATTTCAGAACCCCTTTTGTCAATGATGTTTACCGTTTACGATGTTTAATTCTCAATGTTATCTCGTAGCACACTAGAACCCTCTTTTATGATGTTTGCTGTTCACATGGCTAGCTATGCATGTGTAATTGTTGCACGAGAGCCGCTTCGCCATTAAAATATATTCATTGTTTACCCAGGAATGCACTGAAAAAAGAAAATAGACTTTTGCTTTCAATAGGGCTCTTACCAAATAACATATATATCATATTGGCGACCGAGCTAAGACCAGCAGCAACTCGATGCAGAAGAGAAGCTGGTTTAATCACAGGTGGCTGAGTCAATCTCAGAGTGAGTGACTCTGACATGGGCAATTACCCTCTACCCCCTCCTCCCAAATAAATGATCCAGCCACCTCATCTATTATTTACGGATCTATATAATTAATTTACAGCGCTAACCACCGCACCACCACTCCACCCCCACCACACGCCTCATGTATATCTTTAATTATTTATCGTCTTGCTTAAACCTATCAATAATGAAGAGGCCGCGTCCGTGGCCTGCGTGCCCCCTCCCCCGACCGTCCGTTTTTTTAACATACACACCAGTCCCCAGAGGGCCCCCTCGGACGTGGCAATGATGGTGGCGGCTCTGGACGTGTTGTACATGAGGGCAAGCTCGCCGAAGCTGCCCCGGTTGTTGTAGGCACCCACGCAGCGCGACACGTCGTTCGTCGTCACGTAGATGTCGTACATTCCCCTGCCGAACGGAACGAAAATCACGCGTCGGGGGGAGAGTGGGGAGTCGGTGTTGGAGGCGGGAGGAGGTTCGGCGTTGACGGATCCTACGATCCACGGTTTGCATAAACGACTCCAGTCATGCCTCGCGGACACTCGCAAATGAACGCAGACGGCAGGATACATTTTCAGCATACATACACTCCTCTTGTATGTATGTTGAACTTCTTTCGCACCGTACGTAGCCAACCGCGCGAATCGGAGGTACAGGGCTGAAGGACAACAAACTAAACACAAAGAGCAGTTTTAAAGAAATGAGTTTTCAATCTAGAGTTGAAAGTGTTTCCTAATATCGGCAGAGGATTGAATACAGCAATAGGAAGAATTTGCTGCAATGTCTGTGTCACTCTACGTGTGCAAAGGCTCGGATAATGTAGAGGTGAAACAACTATTTCAAGTATTGGTTAATATTGATTCCTACGCTCAAGATACATGCATTCAATTGCACGTGTTAGAATCACTGTTTTTTCTATTTATATATGTTGTATGTCACAGGATAATGTGGCCTCTGCAGCCAGTTGTGACTTCTATAATCGCTACACTTAAAAAATAAAAACAAATGTATTGAATCGTGCTTCTGAATTGTGACAGTTCATCAAATTGCAGGGCAGTTGACTCAAAACAGAAATATATTTTTGTAAATAAAGGAAGGTCCTTATGCAAGATGGCAACATTTGTTTAAACTTTCTTAACAGTGCGGCTACATTCTGCTTTAAACGAGGGACCCCTTAATGCTGCTTTTTACAAGTTTTGGACAGCTCTTTCATAAATTTGTCCAGTTATTCACTTGTAGGGCAAGTCTCTTGTAGCAACACAAATTTATTGGACTCTCTCTTTGTATGTATGTTGAACTTTTGCGGCAGCTATTGCAACCCCCCCCCCCCCCACCCCGTTTATGCACAGACACAGCTAATGCATCAACTCTTTCAACCGTAGTTGGAAAGTGCTCAAATGTTCATCGCTACCATCCTGCTGCACCTCTCAATGACGTAGAAGTTGTCTCCATCAGCTCCCTGGTCAATGACGTGCTCCCCAGTCTCCACGGTCTTTTCAAACATCGCGTCCAGAACCTGTGACATCTGCTCCTGAAGTAGATGGGGGAAAAAGAAAAGTTTGTATTTTTTGCGCTACGGTGGCGAGATGTTAACTCCCTCATCAGGTATGCAGGAGTTCGTGGGTTCGATCCTGACGCCTGTATATTTGAAGTTTGCATGTTCTCCCAGTGGTCGCGTGGATTTTTCTCCAGGTCCTCCGGTTTTTCCCTCCACGTTTAGAAACATGCGTTTAGAGTGTTTGGCTGCGATACATTTCCACGTGATGAGCCACTTCGTTGAGCTATCATTTGTGACCACGTCGCTTCTGAAAAGAGCTTTATAGCTCAGTGGGCCTTACCTGGTAAAAAGAAAGTTTCGTTAATTTATTTTTATATTTACACTTTATATATCTCGGCCCGTAGCACTTAAAACGCCGATACAGATTTGTAGGAGATACGGTTTAAAATGCGCTCCCTGTTCGTAGACATTGACACTTGTGTTGACAGTGTTTTGACACAGTTTCCGTAAACAACTCGGCACTATGTGATGAACCTCGCCGCCCGTGTTCTCTCTCTTTCCTTTTGTAAATTAAACACAACATGCACCGACGCAGCTGCTAGTCACCGGTCAACATCTTAACGACATGTGCATTTTTTGTACGTGTTTGCACTTGCACACGTAACGGTCCTTTGTCATTCCACTGCTGGACGATGGCCGCCCCGCTCCGTGGAGATCAATTGGTGGAGAGGAGTGGGGGGGAGGTTATTTGAACTCCACCACGCTGGTCAGTGCGGGTTGGCGAAGAGCACAGCAGAAGTACAGTACAACAATGCATTTCTCTGCACTACCCCACGATGCAGCGCTGCTGCAGCCTGTAACATCTGTTACATTAGGTGGCTGGCCATCCAAAAACTGTCCAGGCTCATATCTGCACCGCCTCCGAGATATGACGAGATCGAACGCATTCTGGGTGATCTGGTCATAAGCCACGCATGTTCATTTCCTACGTAAATATAAACGTGTAAAGTAATTGTGATGACGTTTTACAGTTATTGGTGAGGGTTATCAGATTGTTTGTTGACGTAATTGTTGACATCGGTGCTGTGCGTCTTACCTGGTCTAGGTTTTTAAAGATTAGGATGTGCTTGCAGGCCTCCTGAAGTCTGTTGCGCTGCTCGTCTGTTTTTGGATGAATGACCTGCAGAGATAAACACTCTCCTTATCTCCAGTCAACACACGGTGCAGTATACACCGCTCACGAAGCTGCAAACTTACACACGAGAACTGTCCGCGATGCATCATATTAAGCTCTAAAAGTGGTTGTTTCATTTATTCGGTCACATGTGTGAGCACGATTTGCACGAGTGGCCACAAGGGTCAGGTTGAAGTTTAAAGAAATGTATTTTCTCTTTTTAGCGTTGTGGTGAATGGTCACTCCTCAAGTGGCTGCAGAAGAGGCGGGCGGGTGGGCGATGTGAATCCGCTACATGCAACATATCGTCATAATAATCACCATCATCATCACCATGCATTAATGATCAACCACTGCTGTATGAAGACCCTGCCCCCAAAGATGTCAACAACCACTCATAGTGCTGCGATGTGACAATCCATCTAGCTCAGGGGTAGGCAAGTGAAATATCAAGAAGAGCTATTTTATTTGAATTCGGTAAAAAAACCCTAAATCTTTTGAGAGCCGCAAAGCACGTGGTGAATAAGAGACTGTGGCTCCTCAATAAATAACAGTCGCGAAGCGGTCCTTAAAGAGATGCGTGCATCCCTGGAGCGGCAGGTAGCCGACCCCTGATCCAGCTCCTGCACACGCGCTGATTTCATCACTCCATCTTCTCTGTGAGCAAGACTGGAGTGATAAACAGGTCCCTGCAGGGTGGGCTGGTAGGAACATTGGAATTTTGCGCAATTTTGTTACACCCAACAGCAAAGGGGACGGACGGACGGACACATTAATCTATTGCAGGCTGGTACACTCAGTTTACAACTTAGTTCCTACCAGTAAAATGTTTCAACTGAATGAAAGGCATATTGTGTATACTATATTGTTGTTAAACATGGTATTTGGTCTACAAGCACTTCCTAAGCAATTACATATCGAACAACGCTTCGCTCTGGCACCTTGCATGTTTGTACGTTGAACGTCTTTCGTAGCCAACCGTGCTAATCGGAGGTGCGGGGGAAGGACAACAAACTAAACACAACGTTTCTATGTAACATCTCACGCCTTTGCGATGTTCTGCATGGGAGGTGTGGTATAAATATAAAATGAGCACCCAACTAGCTTTCGGTTTGTTAGCAGCAGTTTAACACGTAGGCTTTCGCGACCAATATCATCCATAATAGAGGTAATTTGGGTTAGATCGCGTAAATATATAACAACATTTACAAACTGAGTACGACGTTTCGCCAGTAATTACAACTAGCTTCATAAATGTCGTGGCTTGGCTCTCCAACACACCGGTGTGCTGTACTAGTGACGAATTGTCCACGTTCTGTTTACGTGACAACCCTTACTAGTTGGCTGTGTCGGGTGGTGGCGGGTTTTAACGACACATTTATATATTTACGCGATCTAACCCAAACACCTCTATTGTTAGCAGCAGTTTGGCATATGCCCATATAGTATGAATCTTCCCATCTGCTTTTCCTTTTATACATTTGGCACTTTGTCATTCTTCATTGCAGTATTGTCATCATTGCCCTGAGAATGACTGTGTAAGGGCCCTTGATATATTTGAATAATTATAAATTGTCAAATAGGTTTTTTTTAAAATACGACAACTTTTAAGCGTATACAACATACGAATTGAAAATCCGCAATTATTATGCATGCACATCGATGCGTGTATCATCATCATTCGCATCTGCTATGACCAATCCACTGCTGGATGAAAGCCTTCCCAAAGTCGTTGCCGTCCCCCGTGGGGTCTGCGATGTGACGCGATGCCTCTGGTCATGAGATGGCAATCGATGGCCTCCATGCGTCACCGTTTCACACGCGGCATCGATACATTTGCATGTACGTCACGCGATTGTGGTTGGTGTGAACACGGAGTTGTCTACGTGCGTTGTGATTTGACCGATATCTACAACCATTCATGTGCAGGTATAGTGCATTCACCATCGCTGCAGTTAGTGGTTTTTAAAACAGTGATGAATTAAAGTAAAACAAATTCGGGGTCATTTTTATTTATATATATGAGAGCACAGAGGAAGGCGGATAATGGGGTGTTTAAGGCTTTGCCAAAAGAACAACTAAGCTACCGAGGCTTCTGAAAAAAAAAGCTGAGAATAGCGAAGCAGTGTAATGATTTGGTAATATTTTTACACTGTAGCGTGAATGCGGCATGCCTACACAATCGGTAGGTGATGGTCGGTGCAAAAGGCTCATGTGTCATACAGTCAACAGTTCCATGTCGCACACCGTCGCATATCCGCCCTGGCCACATAACCGCCCACACCCCACAGTGCACCGTTGCTGCACGAGTGTCAGTTTCCACAGATGTTCACAAATATGACCTCTGCACATAGGTCATATGTTCATGCTTATTCCCGCGTACATTTGCTTGCTCCTAAAGCAGAGTAAAGCATTTCCCCATGCTTAAAGAAAATATTGCGCCGTAGTTGGTATACGGTAGCCTATTTGTGCGTGGTGCAAATGCCATTTGATAATGACGCTCACCAATCCGACCGTACCTCAGTTTCCAGTGAGTCGGAAATGCGACGTTGTGCCGTTTCACGCAAACCACATCATGGAAAGCACTGTTTAAATATTCAGTTATTACTGCACTGTATTCGGAATCAGAAATGTAGTGAGGAAAGTCTACATTAAATTGGTAATCATCACATACCTGTCAAACGCGTATGAGTGCCCTACCTTATTACAGATCAATTCAGACCTTATTGGTCATCCCGTGCCCTTATAAATCTCAACAACGTTCATCCTACAAAGTCCCATCACAAGGAAGAAACATAAACAAATAGACAAAAAATTGTTTTTTTCTGCCCGTATCGAAAACGGGTAAACCATATGGGTTGACGATTATATTCTTAGCCAAATGTAGGATGTTTGTAGGAGGTCCAGGTTTTTTTTTGTTATCACCGTTATTATTTGAGCGAGCCGTTGTGACTGTTTACTCACTCTGGTTTCGGTGTCTTCCTCCTCTTCGTCTGGATTGTAAGCCTCCGCACACACTGGGGGGAGGAGAGGCGCCGGGATGAGGAGGAGGGCTAGGTAGATCCCACGGGCTCGATCCACCCTTTACAACACGCTGTGTACGGTACTGTGTATGCAAACACACGTCTTCGGCAGCGATGCACAATAGCAAGCAACGCTTCGCTTGTCAGGATGACGGCACTCGATTCCAGGAGTTCATTACCTGACGAAGCTCGAAGCAGTTTGTGCGAAACGTCGACGTAGGCCAATGTTGAATTTAGTGAAGAGTGTAAAGCCACGGGTAAGGAAGAGTTAAAAAAAATATATAGGTCAGAATTGTGATCAGTAGAGGGCGCTTCAAAAAATGTTAACACTTACATGGGACTATCGTTTACAATGGAAAAGGAGCGGATAATAATACACAGTAACATGGTAACAAATGTATGTTAATAGCTTCAAAGTCTAGACGTGTTCGCCGTCGTTGTCAAAAACGTGGCCTGGGATCTTCTCCAGGTGGTCTCCAGAGCCCGGAGGCAGCAGCACATGTCACGTGGTATTGTTACAAATTCTCGGAAGTGTTCACATTGTTTTGAAGCACCCTGTACATTGGCACGTACGAATCGTAACTTTTCTAGGCGTGACAATCTTATCGGGTGGCGGAAGATCATTGACGATGTTGGCATAAAACCACCGCGTGACCTCACACGAATTACAAACTCGGGTCTTTGTTTTGGCTCAGCAGAATCTTGGTTTTAAACTTGAGATGACAATATCGCCGTTTTTGCACACATCCTGCGACACACGGCCTTGCGTGATCTTTTTGTGTGTGTTTTGGCAGCAGAAAGGTAAGCGAAGGCAGCTGCTGCACTGGTTTCATCCTCGTTGAGACTCGTCAGGGTAGTTCTGTATGGTATTTCATCTTGCACACTGTAGCTGTCATTGATGGAAGATGCAACGATTTAGATTGGGAGAACCCCATACTTACAATGTGTGTGCGTGCATTGGTCATAAATATTGTAGTTACTTTCACATTAACGGTAATGATGGCTTCTTAAAATCAATTCATGCGTCCGAATGTTATATAAAATGTAACAATATCTCTTATTGTAAAAATGTGTTTACATTGTATTGACTAATTTGCTGCTGGCCTTTGACCAACACGCACAGAATGTGCCCAATCTTACCAGATCTCAGCAGCTAGGCAAATCGCGAGCCTGGACGCTGCTTTGGATGGGTGACCATCATGCACACCAGGGCTGTCGGGCCACGCCACGAGCAACAGAGGACTTCACCGATACCCATTGTTGTGCTGTGCTATCTATGCTCCCGTGCCTGTGCTCCCCGCATTCCCCAAATCCACACTAACCAGTAAGGTGGCCAGCCCTCAACGTGTGGTGGTGGGGGGGGGGAGGCCGTCATCCAGCAGTGGATGGACAAACACCGGATGTACATGAACTAAAACCTCCTTCTAAATAAGCCGTGAATATGCGTGCTCAGAAAAAAAAAAGAAGCTCAGGTTTATATTTGCCGGTAATTATCGTGAACGAGGCAGGAAAAAATAAGTTTGTAAATGCTAAATGCCAGTGGGGGCAATAGCACAGATTAATTAGCGAGGGATTAGCACTCAAGTAGAAACACCTTCACAGCAGCAGGTGGACGAACATCCTCTCTCCATCCGTTCTGACTCAGTCTACCCCACGACCCCCTTCTTCACTGCATCCGCAGTCCCCCACCCACCCACCCCCTCTCCCCCGCCCAGCCACATCTCGCGCCCCCCCCCCCCCCCACTTTCTTCTTGTCAACATTCCATTAGCGTGCTGTGCACAACATTGTGCAACACCTAGCAACGAAGGCGTCACAGCCCTGGGGTTTGCGGGGAGGGACGCGGCGGCGGGGGGGGGGGGGCTTTGGTGAATCCTGCAGGATCGCTGGTTGTCCAGAGAGAGAGAGAGCGGCGAGTGAGCCAGAGAGAGAGAGCGTGGGCTAGTGAGCCAGAGAAAGCGGACGAGTGAGACAGAGAGAGAGCGGCGAGTGAGCCAGAGAGAGAGCGTGGGCGAGTGAGTCAGAGAGAGAGAGAGAGCGTGGGCTAGTGAGCCAGAGAAAGCGGACGAGTGAGACAGAGAGAGAGCGGCGAGTGAGCCAGAGAGAGAGAGAGCGTGGGCTAGTGAGTCAGAGAGAGAGAGAGCGTGGGCTAGTGAGCCAGAGAAAGCGGACGAGTGAGACAGAGAGAGAGCGGCGAGTGAACCAAAGAGAGAGAGCGTGGGCTAGTGAGTCAGAGAGAGAGCGTGGGCTAGTGAGCCAGAGAGAGAGAGCGGACGAGTGAGACAGAGAGAGAGAGAGCGTGGGCTAGTGAGCCAGAGAAAGCGGACGAGTGAGGCAGAGAGAGAGAGAGCGGCGATCGAGCCAGAGAGAGAGAGCGTGGGCGAGTGAGCCAGCGAGAGAGCGTGGGCAAGTGGGCCAGAGAGAGCGAGTGAACCAGAGAGAGAGAGGGTGAGTGAGCGAGAGAGGAGGCGGTCGAGTGAGCCAGAGAGAGAGCGTGGGCTAGTGAGACAGAGAGAGCGGACGAGTGAGACAGAGAGAGAGCGGCGAGTGAACAAGCGAAAGAGAGCGGCGAGTGAGTCAGAGAGAGAGAGAGAGCGTGGGCTAGTGAGCCAGAGAAAGCGGACGAGTGAGACAAAGAGAGAGCAGCGATCGAGCCAGAGAGAGGGAGAGAGCGTGGGCGAGTGAGCCAGCGAGAGAGCATGGGCAAGTGGGCCAGAGAGAGCGAGTGAACCAGAGAGATAGAGAGGGTGAGTGAGCGAGAGAGAGGAGGCGGTCGAGTGAGCCAGAGAGAGCGAGAAAGAGAGCAGGCGGACGAGTGAGTGAGTCAGAGAGAGAGAGAGGGTGAGTGAGTCAAAGAGAGAGAGAGGGTGAGTGAGCCAGAGAGAGAGCTGACGAGTGAGTCAGAGAGAGAGGGTGAGTGAGCCAGAGAGAGCGAGAAAGAGAGCAGGCGGACGAGTGAGTGAGTCAGAGAGAGAGAGGGTGAGTGAGCCAGAGAGAGAGAGAACGTGGGCGAGTGAGTTAGAGAGAGGGTGAGTGAGCCAGAGAGAGCAGGCGGGCGAGTGAGCCAGAGAGCGAGCCACTGCCGTATTTTGGCACCAAAGTTGTGGAACAGCTTACCCGGCAATATAATTATCAGTGCACCGGAGAATTCATAAACTTGGGAATAAATTAAAGACATTCTTTTCAGATAGCTGATTAATAACTCAAATAGCGTGGGGAAAATGTTTGAGCCAAATTTAGAGCAAATTTTTGCTTTAAAATATTTTCCGTCTGCAGTGTATATAAAATGTAAATACCGTATTGTTGTTGAACATTGCATTTGGTCTGCAATCACTTCCTTGCTCAGTATTTATATGGAACACCGCTTTGCTCTGGCGCCTATCAATATGAGATTATGATTGATTTGAACCGAGCAAGCACTGCCCATGAACACCTTTCTGAGCACCCAACCAGCTGTTGGTTGGTAACAGCAGCAGCATGGCGTTTGCCCGCTGAGTACGAAATCTCCCGTACGTTTTTTTTCCTTTATCCATTTGCTACTTTGTCATTCTTCATTTGATTATTGTCATGAGTGTCAAACGGGTTTGAGTGGTATTATATAATGTGGGGAGGGGGGGGGCACACACAATTGTCATGCCATTCCTGGCTCGAAATATTATATTCCCATCGTATTTTATTGGTGTGGCTGATGTGTTCAGTGCCCATGCCACTGCGTGCCGAATATTACCCTCAAGTAACCTTTAAAACAGTCTGCCTCAGCAGCAGACCATGCTTTCCCACCTGATGACGGACGCTTGTTGTTGCGCCCGAAACGTAGTGATTTATTTTCTTTTTCTACCCACGTGACTTTACCGAAAGAACCAAAGCGTGTGGATTCCTGCAGTCACGAAAGCGTCAAATCAAGATTACCCTCAAGTGTTGAATTACCAGCTCATTGTACTTGCACCGTAATCATAATTTACGTTCACCCGTTTTCATCGAAAGATGATAATAATGGCAACGTCGCGGGAATTATTACAGTCAGGTAATTAAATTATTCGTTTAATTACGCGTTAATGGTTTTGCATGGCGAACCTGCATGCTGCAGGGAACGATCACAAAGCGACTTGGTCATGTTGGCATCACCATTATCAAAGATTTGCGATTGCGAAAACCCCGCAATCGCTGCACACCATCGCTTTTGTCCAAAGGCTGTAATTTGGGCAACAATAGTTGTCTAGACCAATTGAGTATAGACTCCTCATCCTTTCTTGTGCAGCTTGAGAAATACACAGCCCCCCCCCCCCCAACAACTGGAATAACGCAGACTGCAGGAACGCGTGCACGCTATTCTACTGCAAATGCGACTTTCTGCAGAATATTCATGCTACCGTGAATAAATGACGGGGTAAAGAATGCAACTGGGTATAGTAATAGGTTTTACCCTTCTAACTGGCACAAAAAACTGACACCATTATTCAAGGCATCATGTCTGCAATAACCACAACACAAGCAGTCAAAATGCAAACAAAAAGACAACTCTGATAATAATAATATGCACTGTCCTTGCACTGTCCCTCAAGGACAGTGCATATTGTTATCAGAGTTGTCTTTTTTGTTTGCATTTTGACTGCTTGTGTTGCGGTTATTGCAGACATGATGCCTTGAATAAAGGTGTCAGTTTTTTTTGTGCCAGTTAAAAGGGTAAAACCTATTACTATATCTTGTTACTGGCAAAGGAGGTCTCATAATGCAACTGGGATTGCAATCTGTGATCACCACAGAATAAATGAGCAGAGAATGTCTTTGCTTGCATATCCGTCTCCACGTAAAAATGTTTCTCACGTAACCCGTCAGCCGCACATTGTTTCGAGACACGTAAACGACTCTGGAACGGTTTCGACACACAACGTCTCATCAGCAGAGGCAGGCTTGCTTTGAATCCATGCTGGTGAAGTGCCGATCTCTTTACGCGATAGGGTTACGGGTTATCTTAATTGCTCGTTAAAGTGTACCCTCCTGTTCTGGAAGATCGTAATTGCTGCTGTTGTCAAACATTTTCTCTCTTTTCGGACAGGGCCCCCCCCCCCCCCATCTTAAACAAATTACCGCTGGGTTTCTTTGTATTGATTTTCTAATAAAGCCTTCATCAAACGTAGCCTCAATTATCTCACGAGCACAAGTGTCACGTACGCATTTAACATGGGATTTTTTATTTATTAATATCGACTCATTCATCGTCAAACTATGTGACGCAGTGCCCCTATTTGGATATACGTGCCGTCTCTGTTTTACCTGCCTCACAATTAACCTGTTTAGGTAAAGAGAAAGGCAGTGGGGATTCCGTGTAGCATTGTCACTCGTGGAGAACGCTGGCAATGGTCGCTTGAATACTGTACGGAAAACGATTGATTTGAGAGTCTGCACAGTGGTAGTTTTGGAATCCTTGAAGAGAAAATTTTTAAATGTGCACCGTGTTGCCTTGATGATGAATAGCAATATCCCAATTTGTCTGAAGGGAAAATATCGTAAAATGTGTACGGTATATTACTTGCTATAACATGGCCCAAGAACATGAATATTTACACAGAACATGGAACAAACGCTGAAAAGTGTAGCGCAGAGATAAGGAGAGATGCATTCTGACAGATTGAGGAACGCGTGGATAAGAGAAACAACCGCAAATGACGGACATCGTTGTGGATTGTTCAAGAAAGTTAGTGGGCTTGGTCAGAACATATCTCTCGACTGCATGATGGCCAATGGATGAGACTGGTGACAGAATGGCAGTCGAATCAGGGAACACACCAAAGAGGACAAGCAGCAGGGAGAAGAGGCATAGAGATCAGCGGATGCGCAGGAGCAAGATGGCAATTGCATCCAGCAGTGGGTGTAGAGCATGTCTGATGATGATGATAGTCTTTAAAATAGTTCCCGTAGATTAACATCCACACGAGGGGAGGAGGGGGAGGGGGGATTGGGGGCACATATGTAGCCAATAAGTTTAAATATATATTAAGGCAAAATAAATATGGTGATTTATTTACAAAACAAATAAAACCTCACGCAGTAATGCTGATAGGATATATCTTTAATGTTAGAATGATTGTCGGATAGGCTGGAATGACAGGCGGAAGGATGCATGGTTCATTTATGTACTCTTTCACGCATTCCCTCTTCATGAAGAGTTTATGTCATGTGCTTTCAAAGAGTGTTTTACCATTTAATAAAAACTGGAATGAACCGTCAGGTCTTGCCAGGTTGTGAGATCTGCCCGATATAGAGAGTATACAGTGCAATGTGCACGTGGAGTTTGTACGTCCAATATAACTTGAGGATTTTGGGTGCTCTGGATAAATTGGTCGCTCAAAAACATTTATTGACGTAAGCACGCCACAAAATATCATAATCCGTGAACTTTGCATGCTTAATCCCTCTGAAGCCTTCACCCGCAGAGTCTAATTAGTAGGTTATGATAAGGAAGCTTTATCGTCTTGCCATCTGTGGAAATGTTTTTTTTATTGATCCGCTGAAATGCCACTGCCCCCACACGACGGCTCATTAGCCTACTGCTTCCTCCCAGGATGAATTATTTATCTGCGTCAGTCCTGACAGAGCCTTAATGCACAGGGGGGCCTCCCCAGGAGAGTCATCCCCACCCCGGTGTGCAGGGAGCAGCCACGTCAAAGACAGCTCAACGGTCGCTGGCGTGGGACGCACTCCATTTGCATCGTGTTTGTTGTTGTGACTTTCTCTGACCCCCCTCCCCAACTGGACATCTGTGAAAAAGAGCTTCGAAACTCATCGGATTTGTCCAGGATAAATAAAGATTCTGATTTTATCTTTTGAAAGGGAACAAACCGGGTCACATTTTCTGGCCCTGTTTGCTTTTGTCATCGGGGATTGTAAACTGCCAGTTCATCGTCGTGTTTTGGTGACATTAGAGGTGAATGTATAAATGACCTCTCGCAAGAGTAGCTACAAAAATATCCTCCATATAGAGGGACTCTCTAGAGCTGCCTCGAGTGGAGCCCCCCCCCCCCCCCGCCAGCTGTGGCGGTGAGCAAGACATTGCAAGGACCGTACATTTTATATAAACGAAAATACTGAAATAGCATTTCATATCGATGCTAGCCATATGCATGTGGTGTTAATAACCGGTGCAGCAGGGGCCTGCCTGTGTAAGTGGCAGGAAAGCCATGGGCCCAGCTGGGTGGGCGTTATCGGCCTCCCAAGGCTGTCATCGCAAGCAGGAAATGGCAAGCGGTCAATACCAATATATGCCGGCATAATTCTCGTCGTGCCTCTGCGCGGCACCACCCGCACACGGTTCATGTTCTCTCTCCCAGCTGCGTGTTGGTGGTGGTGGTGGGAGAAATGGGCCCTTACCGGATGCTCTCCTTGTGAATCTGCTGATCACCGGAGCTGAAAAGGGAGACGATTTGAAACATCGTTAATGACGATAAGGCGCTGACAAATGGAAAATATTCATATATCCGCACGCCACGGGCAGCCCTGGGATATTCATTGGAATTCATTATGAAAACAAATGTGAATTCTAAATCCCCTTTAAATTATGCCCGCTTCCATTCGGATCGCCTTCCGCAGCTTCATCCGCGCAACCGCTCGCAGAAAGATAAGTCGTTGCGTTAAATACGCGGCCCCGACGCGCCGTTACTCTATTTACCTTAAATCTTCCCCTGCGTAACCAGCGGTGGAATACGCTCATTCTTTTTTTTTTCCCGCGAGCTCTCCCCAAGGCGGACGAACGTGCAGGGTTATCGCGAGTTCACACGGGCCGTGCGGTGGCATGAGCTTGCACGGGAGTGATGGTTTTGAAGAGGGAGGGCGGGGAGGCGCCCCCCTCCTCTCCCAACGCACGCACCAGCAGGCAGAGATAAGGACCCCAATCAGCGTAGAAAAGGGCTCAGCTGTCACATCGCAGTTGTGTGGCGCATCTGGTTTTGCCTCTGCAAAGGGCCGATGTGGCACTCTGCGTTGAGCAGAGGGCGGCAGCGCTGGCACAGGGACGAGGACGCGGGGTCGGTCGCTAACCGCTGTGCGTTGAGGGCCGCTGTTGTGCGCAGCGCGTGAGGCGTCATTGCTCGCGCTCTATGAGTCGTTCCAGCTTGTACGCTGCCGTGAAGGGGGGGGGGGGGGGGTTACGGGCAACAGTGCGAAGGAGGCTCCGTGTTCTTGGCTGTGTTTACCCTTCAGGTGCCACGCCCCTCCCCAAATTTAAACGGAGAATTTACAGCATTGCAGATATGTGATGTAACAGTCACTGGCACGACTGCATTGTGTGTTGCCATTGTTTTCATATTTTTCAGACCGACTCTATCCTGAATAGGCTATCGGTGTCACGTCATGAGACGGATAATCCGGTGCACAGAAGTGGATATCACAGAGCTACCTCTGAGAACCATTCGCGTGACCTCTGTTCCACACAGTAGGGAGCGGCACATTCCCATTCGCTTTGCCACAGGGAGTAGCATTCGTCACATGACAGTCGAACCGATATTTTTTAAAAATTTAACCACATTAATCTGTGAACCAAGTTTAACATCACATTTTTTATGTGATTTCGTTGGTGACAGACCATCAATCCCCAAATGTGTTGAAAATGTTTGATATGTAGTAACAGTACATAACAGAGAAGCGCGATGCATGGAAGGGTTAAAAGCTGATTTGTATTCCCATTGCTGAGTGGTGGATGTGTAGGCGAGTCCCAGGTCAGGTTTGTCTGGAATATGACACTTACTTGTAGCCAGCGATGCTGCAATGTACATCAACCATTTGAACTTGAGACAAGGTGTCAGATTTGTCATTGTGCTTTTAACAGTTATTCACTATATTATTCACAACAGTGCATCGTTGCGTCCCGAGCAATGACGTAACAATCACACAACATCATTTGGGGATCTTAGTCCACTGCTGGATGAACGCCTCCCGACACTGTGTCGATCATAGGGATTGTGTAACCAAACTTCACCATTCTGGTCAGTACAGGTTTGTGAAAGGAGTAGGCCAGGACTCGTTCAGATATCACTCGCCACTGATGTTACCCGTCTGGGAGTGGAACTTGGATCATCAGCTTCAAAGAGCACGGTGTGTGGACACTCGCAACACTGCTCCAATCCACGTTTCAATGTATCATCGATAAATATCGCACCTCCGATTAGCACGGTTCACTGCGTAAGGTGTGAAAGAAGTTCACAATACAATACATGCATTGCAAATGGAACTGCTAAACTGGCTGGTGATTTCATTTTGTAATGGGACTTTGACTTCAAATAAAAGGAATTATGAAGTTACGTGTCATTTACAAACAAACTGCGAGCCTCATTGTCCATCTCCCTTCCCTCCCTCATCCTATGACCACTCAAACATGAATTAAAATGTGTAACATATCAAGGTCACTTGGACCCATCGACGCAGTGCCCCTGTTTGTCTGCAGGTTTCTAGTTCCTCACAGAGTCACATTCAACGTGGCTATGAATATTAAGCACTTTTTTATAACTGGTTAGTTTCAATTTTCACGAATGCCCAATATATCTTATGTAAGCAGTAAACGATATACGCGTCGCTAAGTGTACAGCACGTTTAAGTCAAGAGCCCAACAGTGGGAATCTTTATTTGAGGGAAAGGGGGGGGGGAAATTACAGTGTGAAAATATTTATTTACAAGCGAACCACTGAGGAACATGAAGCAATCGTCAATTGCACTGCTTTTTTTTTGGGTTAAACGAAATCCTTGTTGCGAATGCACGATTTATTCAACACCAAGTCACAAACAAATTGAAAACAGAGGCGTGCTGTAATCAGCGCCGTAAAGAGCTGCCCCGTTACTCAACTTAAACTTTGGCAGATCTGTCCACGCGACAATTTTTGTCGATTTGGAATATTTGCGTAAACGCTTGTGTTTAAAAAAATATATATTTGTTCCAATGCTACACGTTATATCGTAAGCAGTCTTTTAAAACGATACGCATTTTCTGCAGTGACTCAATTGAAGTGCCGCGTCGCACGTTAATAATATTAATATAACAATGATGTTTAGTCACCGAAAGAACCAAGAATATGAATCCCTGCAGTCACGAAAGCTTTAAATCAAAATAATGTTTAGGTTTGTTGTTTTGTTCACAGTGCCGTTCGCTCAAGGACATTTAATCTAACAATCGTTGAGGAGCCACAAAGCTGCAAAGCAGCAGCCAGGCTGTAGGCCGGCAATCAACATTTGCCTAGCCTCTGCAGTCCTTCATATATAAAGATGTTGTCAGCAAAAACAAAACGTGTGTGTTTATACAAGACGGGGGGGGGGGGGGGTAACCGGAGCACCTAGAAAAAACCCACAGCTGCGAGCGGGCAACACTCTATCCCATAGATACGTGCACAGATCATAGTCCGCACTTTTGCTGTTCGGCCTTCTGGAAAACCATGGCATGGCGCATCGACACCCCACGGGAAGGGAGTTTCGCAACATTTGTGTGACCAACCAACCCTCGCCTCCACAGTGCTGGGTTACAGGCCACGTGCGAAGCCACGCCGGCCGGCCCCGGTGCTGTATAATGCACAGGACTTCGTTGCTAAGGAACAGAAACACTATGAATCATTTCCCCCTTCAGATTTGTTTTTTTAATCGGTTTCTACTTTGCGTGCGTGGAAAGAAAGGTCATCCCCTCTGGATTTCTGAGTGGACGAGATTAACTGATTATAATATCGCAGGAGAGGTACAAATCACAACAATATTTAGAAAGCATTTAATTCACATCCTGGATTGTTAAAACTTACGTACATTCTTGATTTGAAGCTTTCGTGACTGCAGGAATCCATACTCTTTGGTTATTTCGGTAAAGTCACGTAGGTAGAAAATAAAATAAATCACCACGTTTCGGGCGCAACACAAGCGTCCATCATCAGGTGATTGAACAATAACAATGTGCACAGCTCTTTGATAATCTACTGCTGGATGTAGGCCTTCCCGACGGCTTTTGGACATTGAGGTTATTTAATTATACTTCACCATGCTGGTATTAATCGCCACCGTTGCAAGCCGTGGACAGGAATCAAAGCCACTAGAGCTGTACACTTTGACATCTAAATTGAAATCTCACATCTTTAGAACTGCGTTTTCTATTTAGTTTGTTGTCCTTCCCTCATTAGCACGGTTGGCTATGTACGGTGCGAAAAAGTTCATAGGTACAATCTTACGCCACCAAGTACCGAGTGCAGCGTGCCGGTGACGATGTCTTCACTGCACCCCAGGTCACATAATGGATAACGTGAAAATTTACAAAACGTAACCGTCAATATGTATCTTGTGCTCACACGGGTACTGGGTCGGTGCTCACCTATGTTGGTAACCCGGAGCTAACGGTGTAAATTCCACATTTCCATGGCAGTGGCTCGCCTAACCAGAGGATGACTTACTGTTAATAGTATAATGGCATTGTAAAGGTACTGCGACGTTATTCATACGTCACACAGAGCTTCTGAAGAGCATAAGGGGCTTGGAAATGCACCAGTGTGGCAAAATCCATTGCTGTCCTGTGCGATACTTCAACTTCTCTGCATTCCGCCTTCATCAACCCCCGCACCGAGGGGCATGGCGAAGGATGACCAAGTAACCTCCATCAATTGCACGTCATGGAGACCCAGCAAGCGACGAACGTTGGGCCACCTTTAGTCCGACGGTTCCCACCACATGCCAACGTTGGCTCAACGTTGGCCCAACGTTGCACGTTTACGGAGGGAGGCCCACATTCTAGCAGTGAGTGTACACCCAGGGCCACGCGTGTACTGTACATGCACGAATGGCCCAACATTTTTTTGTTACGAACGCAGACAACGCCTTTTAAAACCGAGTTATGGCAAAAAAAGTTTTCGCCACGGCTCTGGTTGCGTTGGTGTGACGCCGCATGGCACCGCGGGCGGTGTTTTGGTTTGACGGCCCCGGTAACCGTGAGTGACATCGGGTGCGGATTACCCAGGGAAGGAGTCGTGAGCAGCGATCGCTTCTCGAATTAAAAAATGTTTCCACGATATCACGTTTTGCTTTAGCCTGGAGCAAAGGCTGCTGAGAGGCGGCCGAGGCAACTGATATTTTCGAGACGATGAAACGTCCGCTTGTCCTTTTAAATATTTGTTTGCCATCAATATTTAAAGCGTCAGCTTGGCCCGACACAGTATAAACACTGCACGCCCGTCTTTATTCAAAAATTATGCTGCCGGCGGCCTCGCTGCACTTTCTCAAAGTGTGCAAGTTCACCCTCGCATGCAGAAGCGTATTTAACAGGTGTACTAGTCGCGCAGCAGTCAATGCGCTGCACCAAATATCCGGCGACCCGAATACCATTCCCGGCCGCGGCCTTCAGCAATGGCGTGTGATATCCGAACCGGTCCTGGGTAGCCCCCAAATGTCACCAA